GAAATAATAGGTGAAAATGACCATGTTTCATAGTGTAAAGATATTTGGATGATAAGGACGGTTCCTATAACTGTTGCAGATTTTCTGTAATGGAACACAATTGGACATATATATCAAAAACGTATATCCAACTTACTCGCGATTAGTATGAAAATTACTGGGAGCACCAAACAATAATCTGAATGCAAACAATGAATTCTTTGCCAATTGTTGATGTTATCAGCAATAAATTATAAAATACCAGCGAGTCATATATCATTGGGATAACAAACCCATGTAGGACAAACAAACCCCACTTCAGGAGCTGATGTGATACAAATTAATTTGCAAAAGGAAATCTTCCGTCTTTTTGAGGAAATATTCTGTTACACTAATCAAACGTTTTGTAGGCAGTGCAGGCTATCATCCTGAAATTTTTGTAAACCAGAGATAGTTCTTGAAGTTTATTCTTCTTTACATTACATTTTGGAGTGTGAACGACATTGAAAATTATTTCACTGAAGTTAAAAACCTCTATTTCCAAGATTGCGTTCATTTACCACTGATGACAATAGACGAACTATTAGGTAAGTAAGGTGCAGAAATTTTTATGTTATTACAGATATTGCGAAGCTGAGCGAAAACAAATAACTAAGAAAGTGCTAGACATTCAATGACGTGACATATATAATTCACGCAATATCAGATGCTTCACTCAAGCCACGAGCAGGAAATCAGTATAACCGTTAGTTGAAAACACACGCGACAGCTGGTGGCGTCTCTCTAAGCAATCTTACATCAGCAGACAGAAAAACATAACTGTTGCTGGATTCATGGTAGACGCATTATCAAAAACAAGGGTTCTCACTCGCTTGACAGATGAAAGATCATATAATATTATTGCATCAACTGCTAATTCATCAGCTGGTGTGAAATAAAATCCTATGCGAAGGAAGAGTAACCCTAATAATCTTCCTGGTTTACTGATGGTCTCTGAACGTTCATTTAAGTCGATGTATCGGTGCATATGATCTTCAAATTATATAGGTTCTATAAGTGTTATGCTCGTTTCTAGGTATGCTTAAACTATTATGAATTCACCTTAGAGCAATCACGAGAACAAACAATAAACCATCGTCCATGCAGGCTACTATGATCCCTTGATCAAACTGAATCAGTAAGAAGTCTTGATATGGCGTAAAAATTGCATTCAACGAACACTCAGCCATCACACAATGAATCGGTTACCTTAAATTTAGTTTATGTTAACTCAGTAGAGACGGCCTTGCGACAGTCACAAAAATAATACACTAAAATGACACAGTATCTAATCACATACAAGAATTTTGCTGGTGAGAAATGTGATCTCGAGGTCAACTGATCGACCCATGAAATGAATACGAAATATAGATGTTTGTCATGCGATATCTGAGAATCAGCACATCCCCAACACTCCTCCCATTTTTAATAGCGTGTGCTTCTGATGTCGACTTGCAACTTGACTGTTGTTCCTCGCCATCTGAGAGGATTCCTTCGAGAACGGAAATCAGCGTGTGAATGTGTTTCATGTCGTTTGAGGCTGCACGCAATTTGAAGGTATCAAGCAAAATGTCAAAGGGAAGATCTTCTGCTCTTAAAGTGTGATGTTGGGCTAGCCGCTTGCGTACCTGGTTTTGATGGCATGACCACCTTCCACCTCCGAACTCGTACCTAACTCGTCAAACTCTTGTTCTGTGCTCACAGGTCAACACGAGGCATCCCACCTCATAATAGGATTGCCTTTGCAGCTTTGTCTCTAGTGATGTTGGTACATTAGTTGAATGCATCATGTTGTTGGTCGTTTTCAGTCTTCTTCCTGTCAGGATTTCCGCTGAGGATATTGCTGTGGTAACAACTCATTTGCACGAAGTGATTATAGCAACACTAGTCTTTCACTAAAAAACCAACAGTCGTTCACGAAGCTTAACGTATCCCGCGCTGACACAATTGCTTCATGTCACCCTCAAACGTCTTGGACGGCCAATCGTCATCTAGAAGATCGTTCCCCGAAGCAATTTGTATGTCTGTTGCAGATACTGGAAATGCGCAAATTGCGGTTGTCAGATAATATTCCACGTGATTTTCCACTAACAGAGATGTCATTACCATGTTTACCTATGCCTTCACTTAATCACTATTGAGTCGTGACAAATCGTCTGCTTGACCTACTTGTAGAGGGCGTAACACTTTTGGGTCCGATTTCAAGTGCTGATCTCCTGCAATAGACAATTCAAAGGACCGCGAATACCATGCATCGATAGAATAAACGATCAATAATAACTAAAAACCAAATACTTTACCGACTGCAATAATAACTGACATTTTTCCGAACAAAGTTAGAGTAACAACGTCGTGCATTCCCGTGGCTTTTCTAATGACTTAGCAACAATAAAGATATCATCAAGATAAGCCGCGACACGTGAGACATTTGATAGGATAGTATCCATTAATGGCTGGAACATAGATGGTGCAGTCTTATCTCTTGAATGCAGACAGTTGTACCACGATTAGAATCGATAGTCAGTAAGTCAGTCAATCAGATACAACGTAGAACTTCGTACGTAAGTACTTCTGTTCATGTTGCCATATCACATCAGCACAGAGGTGTAATCGTCAATTCAAATCCAATAGTAGAAGAGGTAGTATAGGAATTAGAAGTAATCGGAGAGGATAGGAAATAAAAGATATTATTCAGGAAGTATGATTGAGTGAGATAAGTTTACAAAGACGAAACTAGAGGTGCTGAAGAATCCTGAAGTTTAGATATTAAGAGAACACAAAAAAAATTAATGAACCGGCGCCATTGCATATTGTTATGAGTCATGTCTTAAAGAGTATCTAAACATCGATTATTATCATCTTTCTGTCCCCAAATTGGTGGTCGACAACTATCAATCTGACTCAGTCCACTTGTCAATGACTTCATGGATTGCTGCCATGTTTTGGTCTGACCAACATCACTTGAAATAAAGAAATGCGATGATAGTTCGCCATAAGCCCTCATTCGAGTAGAAAGCCTGTATAAGGTAATCTACTTCTTTGGTACACCTTTCAGTGACAGACACTGCCACAGAATCTCACGATCCATTGAGTCGAATTACGTCTTCACGTCCAGGAAGACAACTTTTTTAGGACGCCTAAATGTATACCTGTGATCCAGGACCTGTCGAAGTGTGAAGATGTGGTCTATACAGTCACGTCCAGGTCTGAAACCAGGTTGGTTTTCCCGAGTCTGCTTTTCATGAGCTTTCGCTAAGCGTTGAAGTGTTGTTGAGGTCAATATTTTAGAAACTATATTAGTTAGATGGATTCCACTGTGATTGTCACAAAAAGACTTGTGTCCTTTATTGTAGATTGGAACTATCAGTGACTGAGACCACTCGGATGGGATTGTCTCTAGTTCCCAGGTTCTACCTAAGATCTCGGTCAGTCTAACTATTAAAACTGGACCACCATCCCTACAAATCTGAGGGGTCAGTCTATCGAGACCTGCACCTTGCCCTCGCTTCAGATTTTCTATTGCCGTCAACGGCCATTATAACTATATAAGTGCACCTAGCTTTTTGTAAGAGGTCCGATAGCTTTCTGTAAAACTCATCTTTAAACTCGACTGAACTGCCGTCAGTGGAGTCGTATGCAGATACGACGAAGTGGCAACGGCGAGTGTCCCTATTCTTCCGAGTCCTTACTGTCCCGTTTAGTCGGACAGCGCACAAGCGACTATCTAATGAGATCCAGTGTAATAGAGATTGTCCAGCTCTACGGCTTAATGCTATACTCACACCAGCAAGACCACTGTAAGCACCATCGCTGCAGATGCTGGTTGTCCGAGGAAAACACAATAATGCTGTCACTTCCCTCTACAGTCAGCAGTACGGCTTCGCCCTCAGACCTTTAGTAGCCGCTTTTAGTCTCATAGTTCTCCAATCGACCTGCTGGTAAGGTAGAACCTTCTGGACTATATGTTCCAGCCAATATAGCTCGGCTGGGTCATCGCAATAGGCATGGCTGACCACCACGTCAAGGTGACAGCTATGGTCGGAGTATCGATACTAAGCAGCTCTTTAAATGTATCACCTACTTCTATTCGCAAATAAGCAGCAGCGTTATATAACATGCACCAAGAAATGACGAGCCACAATCCTTTCAGAGATAGGTTTTTTGATTTTTGATTATTTTAGTCTACAAATTTTGAGCCAAATATAATACTAATGTCTATTTATCACAATCTAAACAACAATGATACAACAACCGTCATTTGATTTTTCAGGATATAAATGACTACTCATGTAATAACAGAGGTCATAGTGCAATACTAGGAAATGTTTGAATTTGGAGGAAAACGTAAATGCACTGGAAGAATGGAGTGCGATTGTATATGGCATGTGACGCATTGAGCATCGGTGATGAAACAGTACTGAAGCCATTAGGTAATGACCCATCGGTGAAAAATTTCAGGCATTCACTCGAAGGTAACATTTTCAAAGTGTATGCAGATCATAAACCCTTAACGAATTCATTCAAATCCAAACAAGATATTAGTTGCCGTTGGAAATAAGTTGAATATAATTTCTTTGCCAGCATTCGACAGGCGCACAATAGACTGGACGAAATTTTAAAGAGGTTGCATATAAATTTTAAAGAAACGTGATAAAATCTTTCAACTTATTTTAAAAAGATTACCATGGATTGTAAGTTACGGGTTGTTTGCTCATGAGACTGCCGTCTGCCATCACAACCACTTCGACGGAGTAATGAAAGCAGACTGTAAAACTGTACAATCATTTTAAATTAACTGATATTAACAATGGTTTATGAGTAAACTGAATAAGTTTCATAATATGTGTGATAAGTATGGCAGTCTAATGTTATAACTGACAGACTACGTTAGATTTTCTAATAAGGATTTCAAACGAAAAACCCATCAGATTATAATTGCATGAAAACAGGAAGATTAGTATGAAATATTTTGATTTATTTATGTCATATAACAACTGATTACAACAAAGCTACACGATTAATCAAAGAAATGAAGTGAATATTATAAGTAAAATGTTCATTGAGATAATCAGTCCTGATCTTGACTAACGTGACTTTTTATTTTACTGTAAAAAAAAATTGGGAATATTAATTCAGTGAATATCAATATGAAACAATAAAGCTGTTTTCCTGCAATCATTCACTTGAAACTATTAAAACAATCGTGGTATTTATTCATTTACATTGTGCACATCAGGTTTTCACTGAACAAAGTCAAAAAACAACGATACATAAAAAACAATGACTAAAACGTTATCACCCACCTTTTTTGTACTTCTTTTCAAGTTCACCTTTGAGCTCCGTCAAAAGTTCAAAGTTAACTGTAACGCAATAATTTATCATAGGGTCTTAAATATTAGAATGATTACATTTGGTCTTAAAAACAATTCTTAAATTCTAACCAACACAGAAATTCGATCGCAAAACCAGATCGTTGCGTCAAGCAAATGATGTTTACCTCAGAACAATTGATCTTATAACAGATTTGTCGTTGATGAGAGACTGTTGAGGTCGTTGAAGCTTTCAAAAAGCTCTTATAGGCAATGACTATACTTATTTTCTATGGAAGTGCATCGTTGAATGAAGGTTTGCGATGGGAAAAAAATGAAATTCACCTTTGTGCGTTTGCGGTTTGATTGATTTAAAAAAAACCTATATGGTCATCCAAGTCACCTGCATTTAAAAATCACGGTTTAATCAAAGCTTATGCGATCATCTAGGGCTAATAAGGCTCATCCGTATCTGCATTTTGATTGATTTTTTACATGAACGATATCTTTTGTACAGTGACTAAGCTGTCTAAGTCGCCTCCAGGTACAGAAAATCAATATATCAATCAGCTTTTGCTATCTAAATGAATCATTATTCAACAGGTTGATATATATACTACTTGGTTCAGAATGATAAGCGACAATGATTTTACTATAATTGTTATTTGTCCAAACATATTATACTATTCACAGCATACATTCCACTTGTATAACCGGTTTTTATCGTCTACAATAAAACACAATGAACTTGCATAATTCAAAGTTTAGTTTTCTTATAATAATATTGTAATTTTCAATATGTTCATCAAGTTTTCTTTTATCTGAAATGTAAAAAATCAAATTTCATTTTAAAACAATATTGCTTGTACACAGATGTTTTAAACTTGTCTATGAACAAAACGTAACGAAACGATATTGTTTCGTATGAAGTTCTATCTTTGTAAATAACAATCGTTTGTTTGTAGTACAGGATAAAATTGTATCAATCAAGGATAGTCTGAGTGGGACATAGATCGAATTAAAGCATGACTACATTGCTGCGCGCTGATTGGCTAATTTCCTATCCAATCAGCGCATGATCGATACTTGGAGAACAGGGTAGAAAATTCTCGAATTGTTAGCTGCATGCTGATTGGCTAAATCTAATTCAGTCGGTCACGTGGATTTCTATCCAGAAGCTTCTCATGTAAATGCTATAAATAAACTAATATTGTATCTATTTTCGCCTTTGCCATCACCTTTGGCTTCTTATCTCTATTTGACCTTGCTATTTGGAATATAATCTTTTCCTCTTCAACCGTAGTTTTTGATTCTTTGGAACCTGTCCAGTGTATTGTGGTCAGAGAATACGAAGCAATAGGATTGAGCTGGGAAATATTTAAGCAAGCATTACAATAGTTAGCAATAGATAATCAAAAGAAATTATTATCTGTGTTGTTTTGAAAAACAAAAAAATAGACAGTAATACCATTTTCTGTTAATTCAAAAAAAAATTGCTTACCATTGCCAAAGAAAACCGACGGTGGAAGACAGAACTCCAAAGCTTTCAAATGTTTCGTAACTGTTTCAGTGTTTTAAAAATTTATATTCGAACATATTAACTCATTGTTAAATCTTCACGTTTACAAAATTCACAGTCCCTGAATATTTATAAAATTGTCTCCGTTACTATAAAATTGTCATTTTCATTGAAATGTTATTCGAAAAAGGCTATATGAATACAGTAAACTGGTCGTTATAAATAAGCAAGTACGCATTTCTCAAGAGCTTGTTTAGAAATCTGTAATATAAATTGAATTCATAACAAAAAGGGTGAAGCAGATAACGCTGAGGAATCCTTAGCGCATTGTGCTTTAGCCAAACATAAATTAAGTTGACAGTCGATAACTTAACTTAAAACATTTTTATTCATGTGGCAGCACTTACTAGTATTGTCTCTTTTCAGCGCATTGAAGCATACTTTGCGTTCAGGTGTATTTGTAAGCCGTATTCCTTTTCATACAATAAGTAAATAGAGAAATGTATTTTACATTTTTGAAGAAATATACCGTAAATACAAAATTGATCATGTTAAATGACACATTAGAAATCTACCATATGAGTTCAAACATTTTATTTGATAACCGTGTAATTAAGAGTTTGACAATATAAAGTCAACTTGTGTTTATCAAAATTTCACAGTATTGACTATGAAGTTAGTCATCGAAAATTAAAATATCAAATATTACAATGTTGCGTACCAAAATCTCGTTCTTCCATTTCTATCGTTTTGACAATATCTATCAATCATGAAACAAGTGAATTCATGTTAATTTTGAAACAGATTGAGTTTTTAAGTTATCAAAATCTCTTTCGATAATGCGTAAAAATTTACGCATTCAGATACAAAATTTTTGTGTTCTATGTAAGATTCCCAGTAGAATCCTTTGTATATTCACAAAGGATCTATTTTTGTGGAATAATTTTATTTTAAGAGTTTGATAATCTATATACCGTAAAATGCTACTGTATTTAAAATTTCCTGTATAGTATCATAACGATCACATACTACACAGATACATTGGCACTATTGTATTATAGTATAAGTATAGTATAAAGCATCAAAAGATTATACCAAAAATAATATTCACAATCTACAAACCTTCCATAAGTATAATGTTTTGAAAAGATTGTTGAAGATCCATAATACATTGCTCATCTATAATAATGAATGATTAGGGGTTGAGGGGGGGAATAGTTGTTTCAACCTACATTGATCAATTTTATCATTTGTACTTAAATGTTTATTGTTCAGTGAATCTGAAAAACAAAAACAAAAAACGACAAAGATGATTGATAGTTTTATCAGTTTACTAGCGATATTTGTTACACCAGCACGAAACAACACGTCAACTTGATATGCTTGAATTATTACGAGTTTACCTAGTTGGAAAACGAGAACGAGTATCCGGTGACACAACATGCTACTCAAAAGAAGACAAGACTTGATATGAAGTAGAACATGTATCTTAAAAGCATTCAGAAAGTACGAGGTCTGAATCCAGAAGAGAATCAGGATCCCGGACTAAGGATCCGAGACCGAGTCCCGGTTCTGGTCATAAAATGTTTCAGATAATGCGTATTCATACATTTTGGTCAAATAGGAAACAGCATCCAAGTCTGTGACATTGACAGTTAAGACGACCAATAGGAAGCAACATTTGAAGTGATATTGATAGTCAGGACAACCAGTAAGAAACAACATTGGAGCACGTGACATTGATATCTAGGACGACCATAAAATTGATCAGTAGAAATTAACCAATAGGAGTAGAGTAATAATTCTCTTCGGATATTGGATGAATATCCTAACAGTATATTATTTTTGTTTAACTGAGTACAATTTATCTTATCAGTAGTACATTGCATTCTATTCGAAACAAATAAAAACTAATTTTTAGAATAAATCTACCTTTCATATCTAACAGTTCTTGTTTACTTTTTCTCACAGATTGATTTAATTGACGTATGTTATCTATGAATAATATATAAAACAATATTCAGTTGTCAGGACAAAAAATTGATATTTTAAACATAGAATATATACATATACTAAGTTATTCTTTTTGTTTATCGATTCAAAATACAGTAATGAATTATTTTGCACATATTTTTTTGTACGTTCAAACGTCAATTGATTTTAATGAACGCTATCATACCTGTAGTCAAGTTGATATATGTTCCCAAGGTGAAAATTTTATACTGTATATGCATTACTGAAATACGAATAGAATAGTGAGAACATAGTAAGTTCATAGTAAGTTTAAGTACCACAACAAATATTCTTTCGAATAAAATTGTATATTGACATGAATTAAGTGAACGAAAATCGATTAAAATAGTATTTACCTCCTCGAGGTTTGTTTTTCAAAGCTAATAATTCAATTGTAAGAAAACAATTTTTGAAGTCACAGTGAAAAAAAACAAAACATTTTCTTATTACCAAACTTCATATGCATCAAAACTCAAATATTCATAAAACTTGATATAATTTATCAGTGATAATCATCTCAGTATTTATTGCAAATTGAAACAATTGTATAAACTCAGTAGCTTTGCATCGATATTATTCAACTAAATTCAACTAAATATCTGAATAATCATGTTGTGGTGAAGGAGAACACAAGTGAGGGCAACCGAATTGTGTTTAACGAAAATTCCACAGTTACTCAGTAAAATAAGAAAACCATATCGTAACCGTTAGTTAATTTGCAAATCTTCAATCCATCATCAATCCATTGTCTGACATTTCACTATTCATGCTATTTCATACAAATTCGATTGTGTTCTCCCACTCTTTCTTTCTTGATCTTCCCCCCCCCCCAATCTTCTGCTGCCAGACATTACGTTTTCACTCGCGTCATATACTACTTATAAGTAGCGCACTCCACAATGTGTATTAGCTGATTCTATGAAACAATTTGCTTATCAGTCGGTAGCACAATAAGTTAACTGACATATATGAAGAAGTAATACGGAAAACTATTATAATAATATAAATATTAATTAATTTCAATTTTCAATTTACTATTCAGTGATCCATTGTAAAGTCCATTATCATATCTCTCATCGTATTTCAATAGAGCTGAAATTGCAAAATTATGACCATGAGTAATCTGATAGGATTATTATCATGGACATGAAGTGATCAGAAAGATTTTGAGGTGTTCACATTATGTTTGACTTCCATATTTAGCTCAATATTACCATTTACTGGTAAAAAAATGTTTGTTTTTGAGCGAGAACCAAAAATTAAAAAATAAACAAAAATTTTTATCAATCCTACCAACCTAAACGTTCACTGTAACTTTGTATTGAATCCATTTCTTTGAAATTTATATCAGGTAATGGATCCATAGCTTTGAAAATAAAACGAGAAATTTTGGTTTTTTAGTTACATTTAAAACGAAATAATACATTGATTATGATTTAATCCTGATGGAAAAATATTTAAATTATCCAAAAATATTCTGAGAGTAACTATTTGTTGGGATAGCCATGGATTAGCCACCCACGCAAACAGTCGATCAATGAAATTATCGATCAGATGCTCAAATATTTCAAGGGCAGTCGATCAATGATTAATGTTCAAATATTTTAAGGACAAAATCGATTATTTATATATATGTAATTGTATAAATACGCATGTTTTATTGTCTATTTTTGATTCTGTCAATAATTGCTCTCCAATGTCTTTCGTCTTTTTATTTTACAACGGCTTGGAGGTTCTAACGTTTGGGTGTCGTCATATATACAGTGGTTTTGGCTTTACTCAAGTAGAGAACATAATACTAATAACGATAGTGAACGTTAAAATCACAAGCTTATTGATGTATGAGAAATCAAAAAGTTTCATCATGTTTTTCGCTCTCTCAATGAGCTAACATATAGATAAAAGATAATTTTAGCACTTGATCGGTAATCAAATATCAGATGTCACAGGTCATCATTTTATTTGTACTATCCTAGTAGATTAATAGTATGCAGATAAGCTTAGAGTTTTTAGGTTGTTTGTACATTTTCAATAACTGAAAAAGGAACAGACAATTATCAATTTCCACTGTATAAAAAAGTAACACCTTCATATGATGAAGAGTCCTGCAAGCCATTGCAGAAGAATTTTTGACAGCGAAAAATGTCTATTTTTCGAAAAATCTTGAAATGCTGCAAAAATACGTTGTATAACGGGATATGATTGCATAACAAACATCTTTAGATAACGCCAGGATTTGCAATCTAATAGGCATTTAGTGCTTTTCACTCATTTAGATGCAATGTGAAAGCTGATGACAATTATGATGATTGAATGAGCAACCAGATCAAAGAATCAGTATTTATAAAATAATGTAATAAATATAAAGGTACTCACCATCTTGCATGGATGCATGAAATGAGAACAGAAAGAAAGTTATTAGGAGTGGAATGCTGCGAAACATTTTCAGTGAATCTATGCTCTTCAGGATTCTGTATTTATAGACTTCACAAGTGATATCGATCAGTCACTGCATAAGGACACGTTGTGACTGTGAAATGATTCGTTAACTATAGACTAAATGTGATTCGATATGATTGACTGTTCAGTTTCCTGATTACACGTTTGGCATGCACTCACTTCAGTTAATGTCTGTACTGTCAACTGATGCATAGACCAATAAGCTTCCGATACGCACTCAGATTTTTAAGTAGTTGAGTGAAAGTGAGATAAAAGCTCTGACAATCCACATACATCTATGTATCAAAATTAGTCCAGTAATTTGATTACAGTTATATTCATTTGAATCTTAAGTCTCAGAAAAAATACTTCCAGATAATCAGATAGTTGTCATCACGAATAGTCAATGACCAAAACAAATTGTACTCGGGTCTCATATCACTTCATTGTATCCCTTTATGATCTTATTTAAATGACGCTATGTCTGTAGACGTTGAAATTTTAGTAATTTTAGTAATCATTAGTTAAACAAACAGTTTCAAAATTTTCTTGATTACAAAGATATCAAAATGATAACCGTACAAAATTAAGAAACAGTCAACATAAAGTCGTTAAAAATAAGATTTTATGACAAACAGAATATTTAAAACAATAAGTCCCTTATTATGAATTTTGATAGAACAGTAAGAAGACGTAATTGATCTGAAAATATGTGATATATTTGCGTGCTACACATTTCGAACAATCTGTGTGACACACATATTTACTTGTCAAGGCATTTTATATCAAGATTAATAAAAGGTCAATAAAATAGAAGTTCAAATAGACATAAGGTGATAACTGTAAATGAAGGAGAGAGAGAAAATTAACGTTATATGAAAAGAATAAGAAAGGGTAGGAAAATTGTCACATTATTCTACGCCATAAGTTGGCTTAAGCATTTAATTATCAATGTGAATGTTTGTGTGTGCACACATCCGTAGGGAGGAGGAGTAATCGGACTTTGCAATCAAGGATTATGGAACATGTAACTAAGTAGCTTCATAATCAGTTAACGTCAGACAAACCGATTAACGTGTGAAATAGAAAATCATGTTAATCGATCGCAAAACACATAGTTGAGAGAGGGTACAAGACTGACATCAAGACAGCCTTCAAAACGTTGTATAGAAATGTTAAAAGGACGAAGTTTTATGTTTATGGAAGCCTTGGCTACTCGAAAATGAAAACCCCTCATATGTGTACAGAAACAATTTGTCATAAAACTTGAATTTATCCTGGTAATCTTTAAGCGTTGAATATGTGACAATTTTCCTACCCTTTCTTAATCTTTTCATATTACGTTAATTTTCTCTCTCCTTTATTTATAATTGTCACCTAATGACTATTTGAACATTTATTTAATTATTCTTTTATTATTCTTCATATAAAATAACTTGACAAGTAAATGTGCGTGAGAAGACTGTTCGAAATACACCACACTTATGGGATCAATTACCTCTTCTGACTGTTGTGTCGAAATAAGCAAAATAAGCCACCGGAAAAACTAAACATGAGTAGTAAAAGCGAAAAAACGAAAAATTAAGAAATTAAAAACAAAAGTCAAAAAACGAAGGAAATTTAGCGTAATGAAAATTGAAAATACATTGAGATTAGGGCAAAAAAAAATCCAGCGAAATTGTCCTTAAAAGAAAATAAGATGAAGCCAGGATAAGTAAAGAAAAGTGCGCAATCTAGCAAACCAGAACGGTAAAAATCATTAAAAATCACAACACAAATTCTTCGAAAATTCGGGACGACCAGATGAAACAGATCAGTCATTTCTGCAAAATTTTGATCATCACAAGTAAATTTCGTGTTTGATCAACAAATCAACCGCAAACGATTCGTTCTCCCTAATATATTAACAATTATCAAAACGTGTTAATCTCCAGTTTATACGATAAACCAGATGAAAACTGTCTTCGCATAATCAGTCAATACTACGATATCAAAAACAAGGCACATAATAGTGGTGAATTTCGAGGTGAAATATTGTTTTCAATTTTCGTCTGATGACCTATTCAAACAGCCTTATCTATACACACTTCAATCAACCGTCACATTCCTTTAAATGAAAGTAGGATTGCGTGGTCTTATCTAATCAACACAGAGAACAAGTGATAACAACATTTTGACAAGTCTCATTATTGAAGTCAGCCAAAATTATTAACCAAATAATACTGATTATAAGTGGTGTGTGTGAGGGGGGGAAACTTGCTCACATTCGAGACGGTGAGGTAAAAGATAGACTTAGCAAACGGATTATTTTGTGCAGATCTGTGGTCATGCAGTTGACCGATGACGTTCAATCACACATGTGATGAGCTGTCAACTATTTCAGAATGAATTAGCAAATCCTGATGAACGGTATATTCTCACCTGTTGCACGCGGTCAGCGCCACGCAGACGTCACACGTCCTGGTCACTGGTCTGCGATATCCGAGATTCAGTCGTATGTCGCTCGCGCTCAGCAAAGTGCTCAGCGTTTGACGAACGGTCAACACAAGCGATCGCTAGTCTACCTGTGCTCATATCATTCACAGACTCGATGGATCAGTAGTTTGTGACAAGACTTTGATCATGACTGGTAAACGTCGTGTTTGATCAACAAATCGACTGAAACCAATTCATCCCCTCTAATGTATGAGTAAATATCTAAACGTGTCACCGTCTAGTTTCTACGATAAACCAGATGAAAACTGTTTTCGCATAATCAGTCAATACTACGATATCAAAAACAAGGCACATAATATTGATGAATTTCGAGGTGAAATATTGTTTTCAATTTTCGTCTGATGACCTATTCAAACAGCCTTATCTATACACACTTCAATCAACCGTCACATTCCTTTAAATGAAAGTAGGATTGCGTGGGCTTATCTAATCAACACAGAGAACAAGTGATAACAACATTTCAAAAAGTCTCATTAATGAAGTTAGCCAAAATTAATGACCAGATAATATTCTTCGGAAGTGGGGGGTAATCTCGCTCACATATGAGACGGTGAGTCAAATGATAAACTGACCAGACAGATATAGGTGTGCAGATCTGTGGTCATGCAGTTGACCGATGAGGTTCACGCACACATGTGATGAGCTGTCAATTTTCTCAGAATGAATTAGCAATTCCTAGTGAACGGTGTAATCACAGCTGTTGCACGCGGTCAGCGCCACGCAGACGTCACACGTCCTGGTCACTGGGCTGCGATATCCGAGATTCAGTCGTATGTCGCTCGCGCTCAGCAAAGTGCTCAGCGTTTGACGAACGGTCAACACGAGCGATCGCTAGTCTACCTGTGCTGATATCATTCACAGACTCGATGCATCAGTCGTTCGTGACAAGACTTTGATCATGACTGGTGAATTTCGTGTTGGATCAACAAATCGACTGAAACCAATTCATCCCCTCTAATGTATGAACAATTAACTAAACGTGTCAATCTCTGGTTTCTACGATAAACCAGATGAAAACTGTCTTCGCATAATCCGTCAATACTACGATATCAAAAACAAGGCACAAAATAGTGGTGAATTTCGAGGTGAAATATTGTTTTCAATTTTCGTCTGATGACCTATTCAAACAGCCTTATCTATACACACTTCAATCAACCGTCACATTCCTTTAAATGAAAGTAGGATTGCGTGGTCTTATCTAATCAACACAGAGAACAAGTGATAACAACATTTCAAAAAGTCTCATTAATGAAGTTAGCCAAAATTATATAACCAGAAAATTTACTTCGGAAGTGGGGGGTAATCTCGCTCATATATGAGACGGTGAGTCAAATGATAAACTGACCAGACAGATGTAGGTGTGCAGATCTGTGGTCATGCAGTTGACCGATGACGTTCAATCACACATGTGATGAGCTGTCAATTTTTTCAGAATGAATTAGTAATTCCTAGTGAACGGTGTAATCACAGCTGTTGCACGCGGTCAGCGCCACGCAGACGTCACACGTCCTGGTCACTGGTCTGCGATATCCGAGATTCAGTCGTATGTCGCTCGCGCTCAGCAAAGTGCTTAGCGTTTGACGAACGGTCAACACAAGCGATCGCTAGTCTACCTGTGCTCATATCATTCACAGACTCAATGGATCAGTCGTTCGTGACAAGACTTTGATCATGACTGGTGAATTTCGTGTTTGATCAACAAATCGACTGAAACCAATTCATCCTCCCTAATGTATGATTATATAGCTAAACGTGTCAACCTCTAGATTCTACGACAAACCAAAAGAGAACTGTTTTCGCATAATTAGTCAATACTACGATATCAAAATCAAGGCACATAATATTGATGAATTTCGAGGTGAAATATTGTTTTCAATTTTCGTCTGATGACCTATTCAAACAGCCTTATCTATACACACTTCAATCAACCGTCACATTCCTTTAAATGAAAGTAGGATTGCGTGGTCTTATCTAATCAACACAGAGAACAAGTGATAACAACATTTCAAAATGTCTCATTAATGAAGTTAGCCAAAATTATATAACCAGAAAATTTACTTCGGAAGTGGGGGGTAATCTCGCTCATATATGAGACGGTGAGTCAAATGATAAACTGACCAGACAGATATAGGTGTGCAGATCTGTGGTCATGCAGTTGACCGATGAGGTTCACGCACACATGTGATGAGCTGTCACTTCGTTAAGAGTGAATAAGCGATTCCTAGTGAATGGTATAATCTCAGCTGTTGCACGCGGTCAGCGCCACGCAGACGTCACACGTCCTGGTCACTGGTCTGCGATATCCGAGATTCAGTCGTATGTCGCTCGCGCTCAGCAAAGTGCTCAGCGTTTGACGAACGGTCAACACAAGCGATCGCTAGTCTACCTGTGCTGATATCATTCACAGACTCAATGGATCAGTCGTTCGTGACAAGACTTTGATCATGACTG